GGTAACAAAACCTGCTAACCTGCTTTCAATCCGACCTCAAATGAGCAAATTCTATTTATTCTTCGCCGCTTTGGGTTGTGGGGCATACTTCCTAGCCCCAGTGGGAGTGGTGACTAGCGTTATAGGTCATTGGGCGGTCGGAAGGTTCCTTGGATGCTGCTCCACCACATTCAAACAGATCATGCGTGCCTCAGTCAAAAATCTAGGTCGGGAATCCATGATCTAACGCCAAGCTTACTGCTAGCCTATTGGTTAGAGCCATCATTCGACCGTGACTGCTCATCGCTTTTGGCCGCCTTCTTCTGTCACCTGAGATCCAAGTTAGCACCAGCAAAGATCTCTTGATTCCTCGCTGTCAGGCCGGTTTGGAAGCAAGCTTAAGTGGACAAGCAGGTCAGATTTTTGGACCTATTCTTATACACTTATCCAATCCTTCTTCTCCTTCTTAGTCAATGGGCAATGCACCTCGGGTTGTTTGATTAAGAAAAGACCTTTTTTCCATTTTTCTTGAATCTAGTTGCAATGTCTGAATAATAGGTATGAATGTCCAGGTTGTTCAGGAATAGTGGCATTGAGTTTCTCGACCCTTTGCCTTAGGAATTTTGTAGAGTAAGGGCAGCTAGAAGGGCCTCCTTTCTTCTCAGTAACAGACAAGATGTCATTAAAGTCAACACCCCACAATCTAAGCCTCATTGCAAATGGATCGAAGAGAAGCAATATTAGCCCAAAGATCAAGTCGATCAATTTTAGTGCAACCCGCATAAACAATAGTAGCAATGAAGAATAGTTACCAAAATAAATCTTTAAATGGAGAAACTGATTATGATTAATAAGAAAATCCACTTTAACAGAATCAAGCCAGAAAAAACCGAATCTTATTGTTAAGATTAGCAAAAACATTAAAATTCTTGAAATGTTTCATATTCTTTCCATTATTATGAGAAGCCACCGTAGGTTCAAGAATCTCAAAGAAAGATAACTTGTGCATGGATTAGAAGTTTGGTATCTAATGAATAGTGCATATTTTGATTTAGTTGAAATTCATACTCTAACTTTAGTAGATGTAGAATAAAGAGGAAAAACACTTCAAGAACATGTCAATTCAATGAACTTTCCTTAGTCTCATATTCTAGTAGAAAACAAAATTCAATTGCCATTTCTACTTCATCAATATAATGATATTTATTATCACTTCATTATGAATCACGTGTCAAAAGAGGATGTTGATATTTAATTCATTGACACTGGAAATTATCTATTGAACATATTTATAAAAGGACTTAACGATGATATATTTTGTTAGATTAGAGATAAAGTTTGTATAATTGACCTAAATGAAAAAGGACACTCATGATACCCATTTTAATTAATAAATTCAATTGCCTTATTTTATTTAATTGAATTGATTCAATTAACATAAATTATGAAACTTCATGGTTATGAAAGTTTCTGGAATTATTCAATTAAATCAATTTAATTTTTGGAAGGCAATTGGATGAACTCCTCATGTAATTAATTAAATTGATTTAATCAATTAAATTGAGTCTACTTATAAGCAAGTGGCTTGCCGCTCTTCCCTCTTTCATTTAATTATTTAATAGCTTAATTAAATCCAATTTGGATATCAAAGCGGTCGACCCCCTCGTCTCTCTGCAATCAATTCAATTGATTAAATTAAATAAATCTAATTAAATAAATTTATTAAATTAATGTTCATGAGTAAAGTTAATTTCATCTTGAGTTGCCTCTTAGATTCAAACTCAAAATAAAAAAAAAAATATTCCAAAAATAAACTCCATCCAATTTTCCTAGATTTAGTTTTAAACACATGTTCTTATGTTTAAATATAAAAAAAATGAAGAGGTTCTTTTCCTTCCTTTCTTGAGTTCTTACTCTCTTTTCTTGATCTCTTAATTCATTTATCATTCATCTGAGGAGAAAATAAGAAGTGGGGTTCATTGTTCTTCATTTGGCCATCCAAAGTACTTCACAAGGCGAAAACTCTACATCTTTCAGTCAACTTACTCTAGCCTTGAGGGAAGTAGAAGGTTGCACATCAATTCATTTCAAATCATAAACTAAACTTGTCGATTAAGATCCTTACAAATCTCTTTAAATTTAGATATCCCTATTTAATTTTATCAAATCTAAGAGTTTGAATTATTTTTATTGGATGGTTCATCTTCAAACGCTTTTGGAATTCATGGCTTGATTTTGAGACGTTTTGAAAGAAAAAGAAACTTTAATAATTTTAATCAGTTAATTAGCTTCTTATTTAAAATCCATATATATTGTGATCAATACTTTGTATTTGCATCTTAAGACTTGATTGAGGATTATGTGAGCAAATGGTGTGATTCTTTTGTAAGATATATTCCTTTGGTTTCCATTTTCTTTTTGTTGTAACCTTGTGGTAATGTTGTACTTGTCTGATGCTCGAAATAACATTATTATAGTACTTATTTATAAGGAGAAAAATAAGGGCGTGTTGATATTTTTGCTCACATGAGAATATCATATTTTTTGTTGTGGTAGATAAAAAAAAGGGTTGGTTAGGCATCGACGTAAGCCAGAGGGTTTGCTAACTATATATATATATATATATATATATA